CCGTAGGCTCCGAGGATGGTCTCTGGATGGAAAGGGATATCCTGTTCTTGTCGGGAGACCTCAAGTTTAGTTGAGAGCGTACCGGCTTTTCCGTAGGCTCCGAGGGTGGTCTCTGGATGGAAAAACACACAATCAGATTTAGCACATTTTTGTAGATGACCGGCATTCAAGTGTACTTGACGTGCGGCCTTTCAGTGGAGCGGCGATCAGTGTACGATCAGTGTGTCGTTGCAGAGGTTAGGGAGAGCCTGGCAATCAAGAAACGCAAAAGTTTTATATGTGGAGAGTAAAATCTCTAAGCTAAATGAGGTATAACATAAGTAACACTATGAGGTTAGAATGTCAATCAGGTCTGCAGGTTGGGAAACTATTAGCGAGAATATGACAATTTCAGCCAAGAGAATCTAACTTATTACGAATTGATGCAGTATAAGCCAAGGTTCGACGAAGGGTGTGATCACTGGAAAGAAGTCAAATTGGAAATTTACGCGATCCGAGCCAAATAAATTGAGATAATCTGAACAATGTTAAGACGCAATGCTAATGGACTTTACTGGAACCAACCAGTGAGTATCTGAAAGACAAACTTGATGATCTCTCAGTACATCAAACACTGATAAGATTTTTGCATTCAACAGATACTGGAGGCAAAGAATGGGAGTACACCAGCTATTCGTAGACCTCAAGAAAGACTGTTTGAAGGATGTTTGTGGTATCGCCTTCAAGACCTCCGTCGCATTAATGATGATGTATTCCACTGTCTGAAAGCTTCTTCGTTTAAGGCCAGTTTTGAGTTTAGGGAATAGAGAAGTGTCGGCATGTTGATAGGATTGATATGCTGTGCCAAGAACTGTCTAATTGGCAATGTCTTATGAGTTTCTGCAGCTGTCTTCCCTACTTTGAAACAGAGTTTAGCATAAATTCTTTGCTCCTTTACCGACTCCATACTGAACACTGGAAGACACCACCGCGCTCGATCGCGACGCTGGTTATAGGAGTTACACAAAGCGTTCAACATACAGTACTTGGAGGAAAATTGCTTGTGTAACTGACGGTCAGGTTGCAAGGTCACTGGAAAAGCACCTAACATGACCGATGCAGTTCTACCCCTGGCCGTCAGTTTGGGAGCTATTTGACACACCTGGTATATTCCGGAATGTATGCACAATACTCGTGTGTGAAGTAAATGACGTGTTCAACTGACAGCCTTCACCACTGTGTGCGTGTCCCTCATTAACATCTGTTGGCGCTCTTATTGTGACTTTGAAAATGGGAAACTGTTGTTCAACTGATTCTTAAAACAGTCATGAAGAGCAATAGGTTCTGATAGATCTGTTGCAGCCTCCACAGCTGATCTCTCTCTAACAGCCC